GCTAGCTGGAGAACACCGAGTTGGATGTGTCATTGGGCTAATGGAATGTGCTGGCAGGCAGGGGTGACAGGAACTAGACCCCTCTCCTTACTGGATGGCACAGGTGATCCGGGGTCAGTGGAAGGCAGGCATGGAGAGGTTGGGTTCCTGGCTGGTTTTCTCCTATAAACCAGCTCACCCTGCTCAGCCATGGGCAGAGCCAAGGCTCTTCCCATTGTAAACAAAGTTTTTTTTCAGTGAAAACGCAGCTATTCCTTTATCTTTCAATAAAGCGCAATGGACGTAGCCCTAAGTTAGCACCATTATTTGTGAGGAAGTCAGTCTGCAGAATGTGAGAATGCAGAATTGCTGCTCTCTTTTCCCTAAGAGTGGGAGAGCTGGCTTTGGCCAAGCACTGAGGACTTAGCCGGAGTTGATTTAACCCCAGAGGAAAGGTTGGTTTTGCGCACTGAACTCCATTTTCTCATGCTTTATGCATGATTAACTGGTAATTAAGCTTTAATGAAAAGTGTTCGGCTGATTGCAATTAACATAATTGCAACAGTCAGTTCACGTCCTGGCAGGACAATGGACCTTTGATGGGCTTGGTGTCTTCTGAGCACCCACCGTTCCTGTGCTTCTAGAGCAAATTCTCTCTCACATACAGCGAAGGCAAGTGCACAGAGAACCGCGTGGCTCGCACCCCACTCCAAAGTCACATGTTGTTGTGACTTTGCAACATGGCTAGCTTCACATCGCCCTGACCATCAACATTAACTGCCTCCCTGGCAGGATATGGTGTTCCTATGACAGCAGCCTTTTAAAACAAGGGAAAAGATGATCATTTGTTAATGAAATAAGAAAATTTACAAATTATGGATTAAACAAAGCTCATTTAAAAACAAGTATTAGACTTTATAAATTGAAAATATTCTGCCTGGTTTCCAGCTTGTATGAAAATGTTATCTGCTCCTGATTAAAATAAATCAATGCGGAATTACAACATTTAAAAGGTCAGCAAACGCACGCACCTTATATTAAACAGAAAAATGTATTCTCCACTACTGAAATCAAAGGCCACAGAAACAAGTACCTCTGATAATAAGCACCGTGCAAAGAGCATTCACTCCTAGCTATGTGTCAACATTTCGCTAGAGGTGATGGGAAATTTACTGTCAAAATTAGCATTTAAACAGTTATTAACAGCTTTGCTATGGAAATATTTGAATCAAGCTGAACTCAGGTATGACGCATTCATTGACAGGAGAGGGAGTGTTGTTTGTCACACGATTTAAGTCCTTCTCATGTCTACCAGGTACACCCTGAGAGTTTTCAGGCATATCCACTTAGAATAGACTCCTTAGGCACTGACTGTGAATCCTGTTCTAGAAATATGAAGGTATCCTGCTCTCAAGAAACTTAGTTCTAGCAGGTTGTAAATAAAATCCCCGCATGTGGCGGGCTGAGCATTGTAGCAGAAGCATGAGTGGTGAATTTGGGGACTTGCTCCTGCCAGACAGGTCTTAGGAAGGGGACAGCCACCATGGAGTTTGTGTTCTTCTGCCCTTTCCCACCCCCTGCCTGACCTGAGCTTAGGAGCTGGGAGCCTGCTCCGAGGGGCTCAGTGGTCGCAGGCTCCTAGTGTCACCCACAGTCCCCTCTTCCCCCAGTGCTGGAGGTGGAGGCTGAAAGACTTCCATGAGCTTGCCCTAATTCCAGTATCACCCGCAGTCCCGTTCCTGAACTCTGTAACTCACCCTACAGTGGGCCCTGTCACCTGACAGTGTCACCTCCAGCAGGTGCCACCGTCTGACTGCATGTTGGGGACCTATTTGTGTTATACTCTGGTGTTATCTTTCTCCTTTGGTTGCTCAGTGAACTCTGTGTGGCCACACTGTCATCCAAGATTCCTGCAGTGCAAGCACCTGATTCCTGCACGCCCCACCTCGTGAGGTGCCCTGCTCTGGGTGGCCACAGGACTCACCCACTAGTTGTTTCCAAGCAGCGTGACCTTCCTGACAGCCCCAGGCCAGCAAAGTGACAAGCACAGAGGCAGAGACCAGTCTGTACTTACTGGAGGTCAAGAGGGAACATGAATTTCCCACGTCACCACCCAGAACACTTGTTTACACCATTCAAAGTTTTTATGTCTTGTTTTTTCCTTTCTTTTGACTTTGAAAGATGTCCTCACAGAAACACATTCATAAACGGCCTGAGAGCCAGTGTAAAATTTTCACCCCCGAAATGGCATTTCCCCAGGTACACAGCTGACTTGGGCTGTACTTACTAGACATGAGATGGAGAAGAGACTGACGTAAGAGCTATGTTAAATCATGTGCCACCGTCCAATTGTTGTTTACCAACAACATGTCAGTCATGGCTTGTGCTTCAAACTAATACACACAGAACAGCGAGTAAGAGAATTCTGCAAGTGTCACTTCTATAGAAACTTGTGCGTTCTCATCGGTCATTAATCATCCTCGTTGGTGTATTAATTAATTAAATAAAGAGAAGAAAAGTATCCATAAAATAATCAAGGGCCTTGTTTCTTTTTTACCCAAAATAGGAAGATACCCCTTGAGAAGGAAGTCATGAAGGAATACAGAAAAAGAAGAGACCTGGCAGGGGATGGAGCCACTGCACAAGAATTTAAAATCAGGAAGACAAAAAAAAACAAGAACAGGAAGAAAACTAAGTATAGTCTTGGGCTGGGGGTGTGACTCAAGTGGTTGAGTTCTTGCAAGGCTCTAAGTTGAAACCCCAGTAACCACACACACACCATACACACACACACACACACACACACACACACACACGCACACGGCACTCTGGACACACACTCCAGCAGTCACCCCTTGGGTATCCACTCAACTGAACTGAAAACTTCCGTCCACACCAAAACCTGCACATGTAAATTCCTACCAGCTGTGCTCATAATTGCCAACATATGGAAGCCACCAAGGCCTTTGGGGAAGCGAATGGACAAATAACCCGAGGCCCATCCAGATATTATTCAGTGCTGAAAACAAACGAGCTCTCAAGATGAAAAGATGGAGAACATAGATGCACATGGCTAAGAAAAAGAAGCCCATTGAGAAAGGGTGTATGGACCCCAGCTCTGGGACAGTCTGGGAAGGCCAGGATGTGGTGGGGACAGGGAAGAGACCAGGGCTTGCCAGGCTTGGTAGGGGAAGGAAAGGCATGAAGAGGAGGGACTTGGAGGAATTTGGGGCCCTGAGACCACTGTTCTGTGGGGTGCTGTGGTGTGGCTCTAGGTCATTACACATTTGTCCAAATCCATAGAAAATGCAGCAGAAGAGTGAACCCTAATGTCAGCTATGAATGTTAGGTGACAACAAGGTGTCAGTGTGGGTTCGTGGATTGTGACGAAGTGCCACTGTGGCGGGGGACAGTGTGAAAGGTTGTACATGTGGTAGGTCTGTGAGTCTCTCAGTGTCTGCTGAATTTACTGCAAACCTAAAAGGATGTGCTAAAGAAAATCTGTTTAAACCCAAAAGACCAGGGGTAAGGAAGGCAGAAGTGAGCACCTTAGAACCTGCTGAACTCTGTGTTTGCCAAACAAAGTCCATCAGTCAGTAACCCACCCCATATTCCTATAATATAATCTCACAACCTTGACCTTGACCCTTGATCAAGGCAGCACAGCAGTAGCGAGCTTGCTTTGGTGTCGTTCTGCCATCCAGTGAGATTTTCCACACACGTCCGTTTCACTCCACAGACCACGTTTGCAAATCACTGCCTTCCAGCACAGTGAAGTCAGAGGTGCAGATTTGCACCTCAATTTCAGTAGCAGCCTTCCAAAGCATTATGGTGACCTAAGTCAATTATCTTATGTAAATCCTAAACACAACTCACCAGTGACCTGCCAAAAGATGAAGTGAGTCTGATGTGTTTATGAGCAAACGCCCCTTGTTTTATGACAATGGTTGGCCTTGTGTGCTTCCAAATTATATGGCAGCTCTACCTGGTGCTCTTTGAAAGGTACTAAAAGGTTGAGCAGCCACAAAATATCTCCTCTCCACCCTTCTCAGGAAGCCATTCATTACAATGGGCCGACCAGCCAGGACGGGAAGGATCTTCAGGAGATGAGAGTTCAAGGGTGCCAGTGAGGATTACTGCTAATAATTTCCAGAGGATTTCATCTTACATCAGCCACTTTAACCTTAGCTGAAGGGCGGAAAAAATCAGAACACTTCTACACTGGGAGGCAGACAGTGGCGAATAAGCCTGCCAAGGAGCAGACAGTACAGAGACCCCATCGCACAGATTCAAACCAGGGAAGTTAAGGAACCTGGAGTTTCTGCCATGTTCCAAGGAGTCCCACAAATTGCCCACACATCTGTACAACAAGCCACGTCTGCTTTGACTCCAGTTAGATAAAGTCACAACTCATAACTCATTGCATACCCCAGACCTATAATGAACAATTTCCTAAGCCAAACTGCTCTCTTGATACTGGGGGTCAGGACCACCCCAAAATAAGTTCCTTGGAATTTGGGGAAACAGCAGTACAGAGGCCTCTCTCTCTTCTCACCTGACGCAAAAAGCAGATCATACAAGAATTCTCTCATTTTCCCCCAAGGTAGGACACAGACCTCATTCCAGAGCAGTCCTCCCTAGACCCAGAAGAAAGAGCAGGGACAGAGAGAAATCTGTAGTGGCCAGCCTCACCAAGTCCCCCATTTGTCACCATTACATCACCTTTGGTCTCTGTGCTTCCACACGACTATCTCCCTCTTTCCCGGGTCTTCATTTCTGGAGGTTCCCAAGTCACACAAATGTCATCACATGGACTTGTTATACTTTTCTCTTTTGCCACAGAGATCTCAGCAAGAACAAATCAATGGGTGACACGTGTTTCCCCATGACACGTTTTCCCACATTCAAATGATTCTCGGGGAGCATTCTACCATGTAAGGGGAGGCTGGGGAACACACACGGAGCTCTGTGTTCTCATCAAAGCCCTGGGGTCAAGGTGAGGGAGACCTGGTGGTACCTACTGGAGAACTGGATGGAGAAGCCGGACTTGCTGATGAAGAAGTCGCTGTCGAACTGCAGGGTGAGTGCGTTGAAGGTGCTGTGGATGTCCTCGGGCAGCGCCGAGCCGCTCCACTCCTTCAGCAGGACATTACTGTCCAGGAGACCGTCCCACACCTTGAGGATGTCGTGAGCCATCTCAGTGTCAAACACAATGAAATGAAGGCTGAGGAGAGAGGGCACAGCTTTTGTGTTAGTGCACATCACACCACCTTCCCCGAGAGCATCCCAGCCACACAGTCCTCACGCACCTGCGCTCGCTTCCTCTTCTCAAACCCCACCAGGATGAGCCCTGTGAAGGAGGCGAGGACCCAGGCTCCTGGCAAGCAGTGCACTTGTGCAAGACGGAACCCAGCACACACTCCTTCAGTCTGTTACGGGCAGAGAGACTGCACAGCTCTCACCCCAGCTCTCCATGTATGGAGAAAACAATTCCTTTGGAGACTGCTGTAACTTTTTCTAATTCAAGGTAGGACACACAAACCAAAAATGAGTTGGCCAGGGCTGCTTTTGAGCTAGCAGGTTTTCCTATCTCAGTGGTGTTCTTAAAATTCCTGCCAGGTGGCAGCAGCCACACCAGGAGAAAGATGCTCTCAGGTGACGCTTTTACACCAAGAGCACATTTCACACCTGTGGCCTAGTGCCATGCATTGATGTTGTGTTTGTTTCTACAAATTTTGTCCTCAGAGAAAGTTCAACTTGGAGAATCAATGCAAAGGCAGAATGTTCAGCATAAATTCTCTTCCTAACAGCATTCGAACACACTTCTGTCACGTCGGAAATTTTCCAGAGGGACTCCAACACCTCGGCCCCACGAGGGTCACACCGCAGCGACAGCAGACACGCAGTCCATGACCATTAACGGTAAATGACGTCAGTCAAAATCCCAACAGGTGGGCATTGTCGAATGCGTTCTTTACAGGTTTTCATTGGCTGCTTACTGTGTGGGCTTGTAAGGGAGGTAAAGTCACCAGAGGTAGAGTCACCAGAGCTGCCTACAAAAACCTCCACCAATCTCACCTACTTCGTTTTGTATTACTACACACGTGAAGGACACATCTATATCACCTGTGCAAACTATAAAATACGAACATGTGACATAGTTTTAAACGTTCAATATAAACTACTAAACATAAATGAAACACAAATATAACAGATTGTATTTCCTGCCATGAAGCTTAACATTTTGTCCTAGTGCTTCCAATCCTTTTAAAAAGAAAATCTTAGTGATATACCCACACCTACTCTCCGTGCTGCCTTCACTTATTCTTCCCTGCATCTCACCGTGTGTACCGTGCCATTCCACCAAAACTATCAAAATTCCCACCGCGTGATTGTGCACACGGATGCCTACCCAAGTCACAGGACTACTTCGTGTGTTTAACCGCGAGCACACACGGGTATCCTTGAGTACAATGCATTCTGCATTGAAAATGTACAGTTTGTTAATTAACTTTGGAAGCAGTAGTCGGGGGTGTTATTTTTCCAGTCCTCTAATTATTCATGAGGTGGATTTTCTTTTTGTATCCATTTCCAACTCAATATAGTTTAGCAATTCTACAAACACCAACCGTGTATCAGGCCTACTTCTAGGGCTTCTGGAGTAGCTATGGATCTAAAGAAAGAACCTGTCCTCATTTAGCTTATGTTGTGAGGAGAGGAGATGAGGACCAACAGCAACCAAAAAAAGTCAGTAAAGGACGTTGTACATTAGCAGGTGGCAGGTACGACTGAAGGAGCAAAGGAAGAGAGGAATCAGGAGCATTGGGCCTGGCCCAAGGCTGGGAAGGAAGGAGAAACAACCATGATAGCTGGGTAGAGAGGTATGATTTGAGCAGAGACTTGAGGAAGGGAAGGGAGTTTGCTCTCTTCCCTGTGAGGGGCCAGCTAAGGCACAGGAAACTGCCTCATAGGGAGAAAGTCTTCAGCACCTGAAAACATCTATAACCCAACGTAGTTTGGAGCAGGGAGGGGGACTAAGTGAGAGCTGAGATGAGACAGGAGATGGGTGCTATAGATGTGTATAGGGAGAGGGGACAAAATAAACAGGACTTTGTAAGATATTTTAAGTATTTTGTCTTTTATGTTTGGTGAAATAGCAAGTCACATATTTAGTGAAGCAATTACCTCACCAACAATTTTAATGAATTATTCTGCTTGCTCTGTTGACAAGAGACTGCAGAGAGGAAATGTAGACTCTGTGATCCTCCTGGGAAATCCAGCAAGAGATGCTGTGGTGTGAGCTTGACAGTGGAGTTCTGAGAGTGTGTGCAACCCTGGGTAGACGTTGAACACAGACAACCCAGAGAAACCAGGTTGGATGAGGCTTGTGTAAGAAAAGAGTTCAAGGTCACTTGGAGGCTTTTCCTAAGGAACTACAAAGGTGGAGTTACCATCAACCAAGTGGACAGACGTGGAGCCCAGATGGCATGTCGGCAGTTTTCATGCATTCTGGGGGCCTCAGAGGAAAGTGTGGATGGACGCACCAAACCTTTTTGTGTCTAGCAACAAATGGTTTTAAACCAGGGAACTAGATGAAACCATCCAAGTCACGAGTAGAAACTGGACAGGACCCTGGTCTGTGAGCTCCCTGCTCATATGTTTGCTTATGTCATTCAACTCGCTAATGGTTAGTCATATGTATATTCTTGCTGAAATATTTTACATAATGTTTATGAAGTCAAGAACAGACCCCTGGTCTTACATTGGGGGGCATATTTTGTTTTACCTTGTTATGTTGTTGGCCATGAAAAAGTACATTAAATTCTCTTGTTTTTCTGTATGTATTTGTATGATCATAGATACTTTTTCTTAACATATAAATTAGATGAATTATAGTGTTAAACTGTTAGTTTTTTCTCTTTTCTATTATATGCATCCTTTGACAAATTAAAAGAATTTGATCATTTTCTTGTTAATTAATATTTTGGTCTCAAAAGTTTTACCAACATATTGGTATGCATTGATCTATTATTTTAAAATTTTTCCTAAAAATAATTTGTGCTAAGTTCATTTGTATTTCTACTGAAAGCACAATTTATTTGGGCCTCCTGTGTTTTGTCTCAGTAAACATTGCCAGCAATTTGTGTATTCCATGCTAACTGCAAGAATCACTTTTAGGAAGTGTTAATTACTTTTAGCATTTCTTCCATTAATTTCTTTTACTGTATTTATTGTTTTTCAACTTCATTTCTTTCAATTTACATGGACTCTATATTTTTATAATTTCTTTTATCTGAATGGTTAACTTGGGTTTTCAAATTATCTCCTTTAAACTTATTAAACACAAAGTTTGTGTTGTCTTCCCATTTTAGAACTTAGGATGAGGTGGCAATGGCTTTCTGTCATGACAGCTCATGCTGTGTGCATGGGCCGCTATGCTAAGAGTGAGATCCTGGAGGAAGGAATGAGGAAGTAAGGTAAGTGATCACCGTGTATCAGTTCATGCACTGCATTTCAAATCATGAATGAAATGCTTCTCTAGAAATCATCAATTACTGAAATTGTCTTAAGGACTTCAATAAAGGCAAACATGCAGAAATACATCCTACCATTACAAGAATATTTTTAAATGGGCGCTAAATTTAAAATAGGATTAAGGCCCAAAAACAAAAGAATTAAGTATTCCATAACTGCTAACATGCAGAAAAGCATATTTATAGGCCAAGGAAATAATAAAAAAAATTATCTAAGGTTGGTTACAGAATAACGAGGCTTGCTCTAATACTTTCTGAACGTCACAATCCTGAAGTCCTAGCCAATGTAGTAAGGCAAGGGAAAGGCAGGAGATTTGGAAAAAATAAACCTCTCACTTGTGTATAACATGATTGTGACTCTAGAGAAAATTAAATCTGGAAACCTTTAGAATTAATATATGGATATTTATACGAGATGAACATAAAAATACAGTTTATTTCTTTATGGAAGTCACGAATAGAAAATGAAATAAAACACCCTCTACATTATCATATAAAAACACTCTGTAACTCAGAATGGTCCCAACCAAACAGGCACAAGTGTTCCACGTGTAAAACTACAAAGCACTATTGAGGTAAATCATGAAAGACATATAAGCAAGGCATAACAACTTAGTAGTTGTGTTTCTTCCAGACTGGACTACTGATGTAATGTGATTCCAACAAAATCCTGGAAATGTCTTCTTTAAAAATGAAGCTTTTCTAACATTATATGGATGAAACTGCAGACAGTCAAAAGTAGCCATGACACTGGGTGTGGTGGCACCTGCCTGTAATTCTAGCACTCGGGAGACTGAGGCTGGAGGATGGTAAGTTTAAGACCAGCCCCAAGGATGTACTCCATGAAAATTGCTACAGAGTGAGACTCTGTCTCAAAAAAGTTCATGCAATCTATATGAACAAGAACTCATTTGGAGGATTTTAGTATCAGATGTGAAGACTGATAAAGCAATTGAATAATTATGGGATAAAGCATTGCACTGATAGAGAAAATGGCCATTGGAAGTGAGTAAAACCCAGAAGCAGAACTACCTAGACACAGTTGTCTGGTTTATGACAAAAGTCTCACTATATTCTGTTTCTATTATTTATTTATTTATTTATTTACTTACTTACTGCTGTACTGGGGTTTGAACTCAGGGCTTCATGCTTGCTAGGTAGATGCTCTACCACTTGAGCCCCTCCTCCAGCCCCCCAAGAATCACTGTAGTGCAATCAAGAAAAGTTATTGAGAATTCAAGAAGTACTCAATAGAATTTCTCTATGGAGAGAAAACTGTAGAAGGTAAATCACCCAGAAGAGAACTGAGACTGCAGCAGCACCATGACACAAATCAGCCCCATGACATCTTAGGAATGCAGACGCCCCATGACCTGGGGGAAGCAGAGGAACCAGCTTGGCCAGAGGACCAGGAGGTACAAGGATTCCACTACGAACTGTTCTTTAGGTTAGGGTGGAAGCCAGATGTATATATATATATCTATTCCCCGACACCAGCGCTCGGGGGGCACCCGGATTCCGGACCCCCTCAGCCTTTCTCTATCAATAGAGTTTCTTTGCTGCCTGTAACTCTGGTGCTCCAGCCTCTTATTCTTAAGAATGTTCTGAGAGCATGAACCCATTAGTGCATCTGATTCCCCATAACATCTCATGCCTGTGACTTCTGCACAACCCAGACGGGACCCTCTTC